CCATTCCCCCCCCCCGGCTTGTTTGCCATCACAACCATAAATAAGAGCGTTTTTGTTCCTGTGTTTTTTTTTTTTTTTTTTTCTGGCTATTTACAAGCTTTTCGACGCGCTCCGCTCCCTGCAGTCAAACGGTACCAAGAGGCAACAGGGGGTGGCTTGAACCATTAAAAACAGGGGGGGGCCACGATTGCCAACACCCCTTTAAAGCACCCCCCCACCCCCCCAGGGGCAAACACACACGTCGTGGAGAGCGTGTACAGCACCAGCCACGTGGAAAATGCATTTATTATCCTGGACTCCTTATGGGTCTTAACCTTCAAGTAAACGGTGGTTTTTTGTTTTTAAATATCTATTATTTTCCTATTTCTTTTCCCCCATCAGCTGCACTAAATGACTTTGAAAACACTCCCAATAATAATAATTTAAAACCGTGTCAATATGTTAAAATAACCTCTCTCCTCCACGCAACTCGGGTGGAGGGATGGGCAGGGAGTAAATCCCTGGGGGAGGATTTACATCCCCAACCTTTAAATAATTTTATCTACAGAATCTGAGCCAACTTTACCCCCCCTGGCCCCCCCTGGCTCCTGGAACCCACCAGGATGTGGGGGCCGTCCCAAAAAGGACCAGGGATGCCCCAAACCGGCGCCGCGGGGCCCCAGGAGCAGCCATGACACTGGTTTTGCTTCATCACCTGCAACACAGAGAGGTGACATGGGGTTAATTGCTCCCCTCCCGGCTCTGGGCAGCACCAAAGACCCACTGGAGCTTCCCCAGGGCAAGTGCTGGAGTGTTTCCTGTTGCCCATCCCTGCTACGGCTTCAGGAGTCATCCCTGAGTGTCATCAAAGTCAGAGCAGATCCTGGGAAAGGTCCCTGCTTGGCTGGGGGACACCCAGCTCCAACACAATCCCAGAGTAATTTGGGGAACCTCTGGAGACCATGAAGTCCAACCCCCTGCCAAAGCAGGTCCACCCAGAGCAGGTCCCACAGGAACGTGTCCAGGTGAGTTTTGAATGTCTCCAGAGAAGGAGACTCCACCACCTCTCTGGGCAGCCTCTGCCAGGGCTCTGCCACCCTCACAGTGAAGAAGTTCCTCCTCATGTTGAGATGGAACTTCTTAAGTTCAAGTTTGTGCCCATCCCCGCTTGTCCTGTCCCTGGGCACCACTGGAAAAAGCCTGGCCCCATCCTCCTGACACACACCCTTGAAGTATTCATAGGTGTTGATCAGATCCCCCCTCAGTCTGCTCTTAGAGTCATAGAGTTGTCCAGGCCGGAAGGGACCTCCAAAGGTCATCTAGTCCGGCCCCCCGCAGTCAGCAGGGACACCCCCAACTAGACCAGGTTGCCCAGGGCCTCGTCGAGCCTCTCCTTGAATATCTCCAGGGAAGGGGCCTCAACCACCTCCCTGGGCAACCTGTTCCAGTGCTCCACCACCCTCACAGTGAAGAACCCTCTCCTCATCTCCAGTCTAAATCTGTTCCCCAAACTTTTTGGGGGAGAAAAGGTTGATCCTGAGCTTCCCCCCTGCCTCGCCACCTCCTTACCAGTAATTTCTCCTAAATGGGGCAGCCACTTTCTGCACCGTCCCAAGGAAGGTGTTGACGTCGGCCACAAGGATTCCTTTGCTTTCGAGGACCTCCCTGCTGAGGCCGGGCTTCTCTGCAAAGGAAGGAGAGGCACCCGAATTCAAACAAGCGAACGAGGTTGTTCCAAAAACTACAGAAAACACCCCAAAATCCCACTGGCAGCTATTCCATGAGCAGACGACCAGCGCCACTTCACCAACAGCCTCTGCCCAGCAAGGCCAGAATGGGAGGGTGACCTAAAACCATCCACAGGCTCGAAAAATTGCCAGAATTTAAGCAGAGCTCCTAAAAAAATATATATATATCTCTTCATTTTTGCCTTGCAGGCTCAAAAAATTGCCAAAATTTAAGCAGAGCTCCTAAAAAAAAATAAATATCTCTTCATTTTTGCCTTTTACTGCCCCGATTTGCAATGGCTCAGCTCCCACCTCACCTCCTACCTCAAATAAGTGATTCTAGGAGAAATGGGATGAAAAGGGGGTGGGTTTTTTGTGTCCCTCCCAGGCTGGGTCCCGTCCTCACCTGTGAGATAGACGGCGAAGCGGGCGCTGACGCGCTGAACCTGCAGGTCCAACAAGCAGCTGAGGGAGTGGGAGGTGGGGGAGGAGGTGGTGTCGCAGGTGTGGAAGTGCAGGACCTCCACCAGCTCGGCTCCCTGGCACGACTGGAGGATCAAGTGCTTCTTGCGGGCGTTGGCGTCCACCCTGCGGGGAGAGGGACAAGGTGAAGGGACTTCATCCCACTCCCCAAAGAATCACTGAATGGTTTGGGTTGGAACCATAGAATCATCATATGGGGTTGGAAGGGACCTCTGGAGATCATCTAGTCCAACCCCCCCACCGGAGTGGGTCCACCCAGAGCAGGTTGCACAGGAACGTGTCCAGGCAGGGTTTGGATGTTTCCAGAGAAGGAGACCCCACCACCTCTCTGGGCAGCCTCTTCCAGGGCTCTGCCACCCTCACAGGAAAGAAGTTCCTCCTCATGTTGAGATGGAACTTCTTATACTCAAGTTTATGCCCATTTCCTCTTGTCCTGTCCCTGGGCACCACTGAAAAAAGCCTGGCCCCATCCTCCTGACACCCACCCTTGAAGGATTTATAAGCATTGATCAGATCCCCCCTCAGTCTTCTCTTTCCAGGCCCTTAATCATCTTTGTGGCCCTTTGCTGTCCCCTCTCCAGCAGTTCCCTGTCCTTCTGGAACTGGGGAGCCCAGAACTGGTCCCAGTGCTCCAGATGGGGCCTCCCCAGGGCAGAGCAGAGGAGCAGGATGACCTCCCTCCACCTGCTGGCCACGCTCTTCTTGATGCCCCCCAGGATGCCATTGGCCTTCGTGGCCACAAGGGCACATTGCTGGCTCATGGTCATCCTGTTGTCCACAAGAACTCCCAGGTTCTCCCAGAAGGCTCCAGGGAGACCTTAAAGCCCCTTCCAGTCCCTCAAGGGGCTCCAGGAGAGATGGGGAGGGACTCTTGATGAGGGAGGGGAGCCATAGGAGGAGGGGGAAGGGTTTGACCCTGAAAGAGGGGAATTGGAGATGAGATGTGGGGAAGAACTTGTTTGGTGTGAGGGTGGTGAGAGCCTGGCCCAGGTTGGCCAGAGAAGCTGTGGCTGCCCCATCCCTGGAGGGGTTCAAGGGCAGGTTGGAGGGGGCTTGGAGCAACCTGGTCTGGTGGGAGGTGTCCCTGCCCAGGGCAGGGGGTTGGAACTGGATGATCTTTAAGGTCCCTTCCAACCCAAACCGTTCTGTGATCCCATGATACGATTCCATGATGGGAGGTGTCTGCAGAGGCAGCTTTTGGAGCGTGCAGCTCCTCAAACAAAATTTGTGCCGTTCCTCAAGCCCCTTTTGCAGGCTGTGATGCTCACAGAGGGCATCTCTGCCAAAGAGAGGGGGGGAACTGCCTTATGGAGACCCAGCGGGGTGCACGAAGCAGCTGCCAGAGCTCTGCCTCATCCAGGATCACGTGCAGGACAGGTTTCAGGCCATCTGATCCTCTCCAGGTCCCCTGTCCTGCTGCTCCATCTCATATAGACATAAAAAAGATCTATCACGCTTTACTTCCCAGCAAGCCAATGCCAACCTCTGGCAAGGCCATACTTGAGGCACACGCTCTCTTCACAGATAATAGAAGTTCTTATTTAAACAAAAATATTGAAATTCTCCTCATAAGAGGCCAAAATCCAACCTGAGGCACCTAACTCATCCTCTGTCCCTGCACTGAGGGTAAAAAGGGACACCACACTCCACCACGGTGGGTACGTCCTTGCTGAGGTGATGGGGACAGCAGGGACAAGGGAGTCCCCACCGCAGAGCCGTTACCTGATGTCTTCTCTGAGCTTCTTGCTCTCCTTGTAGTGAAGGAGCCACTTCCACCTCCCGCTTCTGTTCAGCTTCTCCAGCACCTTCACTACTTCTTTCAGTTGGCCTGGGGAGACAGCAAGAGCCAGAGGGTAACCAAGGGTGGAAGTGGGGCTTGGTGGGTCTCCGGCCCAAGCCCTGCTCAAAGTTGGGCCACCTGAGGTTGCTGAGGGCTCTATCTAGGTGAGGTTTGAGTATCTCCAAGGATGGAGATGTGAAACTGGGCTCCTCTCCTGGTGTTTGAACACACTTGGTGTCAATTTTTCCCCCTAATATCTCAAAAGGACAAGTACAACTTGTCCCCGTCACTTCTTGCCTCCATCATGGCACATCTCCAGGAGCTTTGTGGCTCCCTTCCCATCAGTGACCCCAAGACAGCAACAAGGTCTCCCCTTTGCCCTCCCTTCTCCAGGCTGAATGTCCTTCTGCAACCCCTGCTCCAGCCCCTGGCCATCTTGGTGGCCCCTGTTGTGCTTAGATGTTTTTGGGAGCCCTGACCAGGACCCGCTATCCAGATGTGGTCTCAAATGTCACATAGATGGAAAGAATTTCCCCAATAAAGCAGAAGCAAGGAAGTTTTTGGAAGGTGTCGATGGACCAGCTAACGTGGAGTTTGGCAAGAGGCCACCACAAGACTCACCCAGCGTTACCGTTTCCAACACCTCGTTGTCCGACACCACGAAGCCACCGGTATGAAACAGCTCCTGGTACGTGTGAGCTGTCACATCTTCAGGGTCATCCACCCCAGCAAACACCACGTTTGGACAGCACTTGAGCTTCAGCAAACACGGGACCTGCTCAAGGCAGAGATGTTTTCACACACGCAGCTGAGTTTCAACAGCATTTGCACCTCCCTGCAGCTCACCCCGGCTCCTGGAGACCCAGGGAACCCACCTCAGCATCTTCTGCATCATCTCAACCCTCATGTCTCCACTGCCCGACCCCAAAGTGGTGGACAACAATACAGGGAGCTACAGGCAAGTAGGTCTCCTGCAATATTCACTGCAGGCCACAAGCCAAAGCCTGGCTGAACTGCTCTGTTACAGAAGGTAAGTCCAGCCTGACCCCCTTGAGTTGGGCTACACCAGGCGATGTTACGCAACGATCAAACATGGAGAGAGAAGAAAAGCACAAATGACAGGCTTCGTGTTTCTGAACTACTTCTTTTTAACAACTCTTCACAAAGCACTGTTCCTACAGTAAATGGTGCATCTGCAGAGACCAACAATTAAACCTACAGCTGTATCACAGAATGATATGGGGTTGGGAAAAGACCTCTGGAGATCACCAAGTCCAACCCCCTGCCAGAGCAGGTCCACCCAGAGCGGGTCACACAGGAACATGTCCAGGTGGGTTTGGAATGTTTCCAGACAAGTAGACTCCACCACCTCTCTGGGCAGCCTCTTCCAGGGCTTTGACACCCCCAAAGGAAAGAAGTTCCTCCTCATGTTGAGATGGAACTTCCCATGGTCATGTTTTGCCCGTTACCCTTTGCCCTGTCACTGGGCACCACTGAAAAAAGCCTGGCCCCATCCTCCTGACACCCACCCTTGAAGGATTTATAGGCATTGATCAGATCCCCCCTCAGCCTTCTCTTCTCCAGACTAAAAAGACCCAAGTCCCTCAGCCTTTCTTCATCAGAGAGATGCTCCAGGCCCCTCATCATCTTTGTAGCTCTTTGCTGTCCCCTCTCCAGCAGTTCCCTGTCCTTCTGGAACTGGGGAGCCCAGAACTGGACTCAGTGCTCCAGATGGGGCCTCCCCAGGGTAGAGCAGAGGGGCAGGATGACCTCCCTCCACCTGCTGGTCACACTCTTCTTGATGTCCCCCAGGATGCCATTGGCCTTCTTGGCCACAAGGGCACACTGTTGTCTCATGGGCATCCAGATCCTATGCATATATAGTGTAAAATTTAAAATCTTTAGAATGGATCCTGATACTCAAAACTAGTGATGATAGGAAAAAAAAAAAAAAAAGAATGGGTTCAGGCCTTACATTGTGGATGTGTGAGGAAATGTCCTTGTTCCTGATGATGACAAGGAGCCTGTTGACACCTGGGTGTTTGGCTTCGCAGAAGCTCAGAGGTTCGACCTCCACGCGGCCGTCTTTCTTCAGCAAGGCCTGAAACAGAAATGGTTCAAGAAGGTTTGTACAGAGACTGTCTTCACACCGGCAGTGCCGCGCTCCAGGCACACACGTGTTTTGGGGACAAGGAGGGAGGGATGAGACAGCGACCCCAACCAGGCACCCTGGTGTCCCTCTGTCAAAGCCACTCTGTACTCCATGCTGGGGCTCCAGTCAGAGGGGGAAGGAGCAGCCATTTACCTTAGGTGGCAAAAACCTTTTAGAAAACCACCTCCAGCATCTCACCGTACCAAACATCAGGCCTCCTTGCTCTTTTGGAGCAGCTCATCTTCCTGCTCAATCACCCTCCCCGAGTTCCCAACCCTTTAACGAGAGCTCAACCAAAAGCCACCTTGCAGGAGCTGAGTTTGGGCTCCTCCTGCTGCAGCTCTGATTTGTTTTGGCCCAGGGGATGTTCAAGTGATAGGACAAGAAGAAATGGCTTCACGTTGCACCAGGAGAGGTACTGGAGTGTGTCCAGAGAAGGGCAATGGAAATGGGGAGGGGTCTGGAGCACAAGTGTTCAGGTAGTTCAGGTAGTTCCTCCTGCTGCAGCTCTGATTTGTTTTGGCCCAGGGGATGTTCAAGTGATAGGACAAGACGAAATGGCTTCACGTCGCACCAGGAGAGGTACTGGAATGTGTCCAGAGAAGGGCAACGGAGCTGGTGAGGGTTCTGCTGCACCAAAAGGGTTGTCAAGCCTTGGAAGAGGCTGCCCATGGAGGTGGTTGAGTCACCATAAAGTCATAGAGTCATAGAATTGCCCAGGCCGGAAGGGACCTCCAAAGGTCATCTAGTCCGACCTCCCCGCAGTCAGCAGGGACACCCCCAACTAGACCAGGTTCCCCAGGGCCTCATCAAGCCTCACCTTGAATATCTCCAGGGAAGGGGCCTCAACCACCTCCCTGGGCAACCTGTTCCAGTGCTCCACCACTGGAGGTATTTAAAAGCCGGGCAGACGTGGTGCTGAGGGACATGGTTTAGTGGTGGTTTTGTCAGCGTTGGGTTAACGGTTGGACTCCATGGTCTCAAGGGTCTTTTCCAACCTAAATTATTCTACGATTTTAACTTATGCCCTCAAGCTCTCACCCCAGGGCCACCCATCCCCATCCAGGCTGGCAGGACCCGGCTGTTACCTTCACTCTTGCAAAGAAAGGGTCCTCGCCCGTCTCCACCAGGTAGAACATGCCGGCATGGCCACAGGCCTCCTCGGCCATGCTCCGCAGGCGGAAACGCAGGGTGCTACACAGGTCGGCGACCATCTCCTGGAAGGCGGTCATCCTGATGGGATGGGACACTCGGGGCCACTCGCTCCTGGTCTCCCTTGGTGCTGGGGCCATCCCTCTGTCCCCCGTGTCCGCCCTGCTCAGCCTCACCCTGTTGAGTTTGTCAGCGTTGGGTTAACGGTTGGACTCCATGGTCTCAAGGGTCTTTTCCAACCTAAATTATTCTACGATTTTAACTTATGCCCTCAAGCTCTCACCCCAGGGCCACCCATCCCCAGCCAGGCCGGCAGGAACCAGCTGTTACCTTCACTCTTGCAAAGAAAGGGTCCTCGCCCGTCTCCACCAGGTAGAACATGCCGGCACGGCCACAGGCCTCCTCGGCCACGCTCCGCAGGCGGAAACGCAAGGTGCTACACAGGTCGGCGACCATCTCCTGGAAGGCGGTCATCCTGACGGGATGGGACACGTGGGACCACTCGTTCCTGGTCTCCCTTGGTGCTGGGGCCATCCCTCTGTCCCCCGTGTCCGCCCTGCTCAGCCTCACCCTGTTGAGCTCGGCGTACTCGTCCAGGATGACGGCGATGTCCCCTCGTGAGTCCTTTAGCTTATTATCATATCTGAGCTTGTTGAGGTGGAAAGGGGCCACGTGGTCCTGGCTGCTGGTTCGGGATCTGGACCTGCTCCTGTTGTCCCAGAGGTCGTCCCACCGTGGGGCACAGGGATCCCCACACCAGCCCCTCGGCCACGTGTGGGAGGGCAGGAGCGTCACCTTCAAAGGGCTCCTGCTCCGTGGGGAGAGTGGGACGGGAGCTTCTCGCACGGGCAACGTCTCGGACATCACCCGGGGAGCAAAGTCTTTTGGAAAGATGCTTTTGGAGGTAGAAAAGGGCGGGTTCCTATTCCTTAGGATTTGTTTTAGCTTATAATGGAAACGGAGGCACTCCATGTCCAACGTGCGCTGGGTGATCTCCTCAAAACCCCTCCAAGTCCCCATCAGTGACCTTACCAAAGGAGACTGCCCCGCGCGGTGGCTGCGCCTCTTCCAAGGTTGAACATTTCCCATCCTCTCCGGGTGCTTTGTGGTGACCACAAAGTTCTGGTAGTCCTTGGAGATCCCCTGCCTGTCCCTAATGTTGACGTAGGGTGGAACGTACCTACTGCTGGCTTGTCCCGGGGTGATCAACCAGCCATGATCACCCCATGAGCCCCCCTCCATGCCCAGCGAGCCCCAGTCCTCCCTGCACCCCACCAAGCTTGGAGAGGAGGAGTCACAGTTAGTCCTTGCGTCCGCAACATCTGCAGATCCCCCAAAATATTCCTGGTCTGAGTCACTGGAGGAGAACTCAAACAGACCTTCAGAGGTTGAGTCCATGTGTCTGTCTCTGCCAAGGAGCTGCTTGGACCTCGGGAGCGTGTCTGAAAGATCCTCAGTGTCACTAAGCTCCAGGCTCTCTCCTGAAATCCCCCTGCGTGATCCTGACGGTGACATTGGGAAGGGGGGAGTGGGGATTTCTCCCTCTTCCACCTCCACTCTGCCATGGTGCACATCAGCAAAGGTGTCAGATCCCTCAGCCTCATGCCTGCACGCCAACAGGGACTCGCACAGCGGTGTGAGCGACTCCCCCTCCAAAAAAGACGCGGGACTGGCAAGAGGGAGGCTGCTTCCTCCTTCTGAATCCTCACATGGGATGGGTTCCTCCTCCTCAAGGCTCTCTCCCATGTCCCCAAGGCTGGCACACCTGGAGCAAGCACCCAGTGGTGTCTGTTCCACGTAGTAGGATGTTGGGGAACCACCTGGAGCCAGACTCACGCTGGGGGAGCACATCTCGGGGTACGTATGGAGGGCTGAGTCCAGCTCAATGCCATGCAGACCTGCCTTGTGGTTGTGTGGAGGAGAAGGAGGCGTCCAACTGGGGCTACCTGGTACCACCACATCCCGGGGGGAGCTCTCTGCCACCTCTGCACAGCAGGGACCCGTGTCTTTTGTCACCTCCTCTGCACAACTGGGCTTTAATGAGCCGTCCAGGCTCTCGGTAGCCACCTCTGCAGGACCTACTTGCTGGTTGGGCTTCTCATTTTGGCACGGGACTGGCCACCGCTCACTTTGTTCTAACAAGTGGTGGGAGGTGTCTCCATCTCCACCACGAGGAAGAGGGTCCTGCTTGGGGGGAGAAGCAGGAGCCAAATCTGTGCGGGCAGGTAGGGACAGGCCGTCTGGGAAGCTCTGCTGCTCCTTGGGGTGCTCCTTCATGGCAGATGTCCCCTCTCCCACCGAGGAGGAGGAGGGCTCTGATTGCAGGAGGTGATGAAGAGAGGGCTCTGGCTCCTCCGGTGCATTAATTACCATCGTTGTGTTCGTTTTGTCACTCCTGGGGGACTTTTCTGCACCATGGCTCTCCCCAGCTTCAGAGCCACCTGCTAGGGCTGTACGGTCGAAGGCGAAGCCCTGGCTGTCATCTGCTCCCCGGGACACATCTGTGTGGTTGGCAGAAGGGCTGCTACTCTGTTCTTCCACCAAAACCTTGTCCCCTTCTTGGTTTGATTCACTCAGCGAAGCGAGGTCAGCACAAAAGTCACCACCATCCCTTTGGGAAAGGCAGCTGCTCCCTCCCAGGTCGCTCTGCAATGGAGACTGGATGCTTGCCATGGCCTCCTGGTCTTCTGGAGCAGCCCCCAGATCTGTTGTTCCATCAAGAGATGCCACGCAGACCGAGCTGGAGTCAGGGGACAATGTTAGTGATGGCCCCTGGCCACATGGTGACTCCAGGCCAGCTGTGCCAGCAGCTTTGCTCCCAGCAGGCTCCAACCTTTCTGCAGAGGGCGAACAGTCCTTGTCCTTCTGCTCCAAGCTGTCTTCAAGCGTTTCTCCAGCAGGTCCCACGTTGCCTGTAATGCTGTCTGGCTGCGTCCCACACACCAGGCTCGGATCAGATGGTGATGATGGCATCAACCTGCTGTCACAAGGTGACCCCACGCGGTCTGGACTGGCTGCTTGTGCCAAACCAACACCATTTGTCTCTGCATCTGGGGTGGCAGATGCCTCACAGGGCTTCTGCAGCGTGTCCAGGCTTGGTGCCACCTCACCAGGAAGCCCTTGAGGACCAGTCTCAGTCCCAGTCTCCTCTGACAATACTGGTGTTGACCTGCCCGGGCAGGGGGACGCTGAGGCAGCAGGGCCCTCTCCAGGAACTCCAAAGTCCTTTGGACATGCTGAATTCACTGGCTTCTGCTCACTGTGTTCATGCTCCACGTCGGCATCACCGCTCTCAGAAAACGCTAAATCAACAGGCCCCAGGGCTGTGTTTTCATACTCAGAATCCTCTTTCTCTTTTTTTCCCTCTTCCACCTCTTTCTCCTCTTTTTCTGGATGTCCAAAGGGGTCTTGTGATTCCTTCCCTTCCTCGCTGGCACCAGTGGGCTTGGCAGTTTTGGGACATGCTTCTAAGGGTATCAAATCACAGGGACGTTGTGGTCCGTTGCTGGTGGCCAAGCTGCTGTCCTCAACCTCCGTAGAGTGCCCAGCATCTCCCAAGCTGTCCCTGTCCTCCGGAGGGCCAGGGACACCCCCTGACCCTGCTGCCCACCCACTCTCCTGCTGCTCTCCAGGTCCACACAGCTCACTTGGTGCATCACTCCAGGGAGCTGCACTGGGATTCAGGGTTTGGCTGCAGAGGTTTTCCCCGTTCAACACAGGTGGGGGCTTCTCGGCATCTCGAAGCTCTTCAGAAGGGCTGGGGGCAATCGTAGCATCCGACACTCCCTCCTTGGGTGGGTCCTCCTGAAACAACACAATTCAGAGTTTAATCTTCAAAAGAGGTGAATGAGGGAGCTGGGACATGGATACAGGTTGAAGGAGCTGGGGCTGTTTAGTATGAGGAAGAGGAGGCTGAGGGGAGACCTCATCACTCTCTACAACTACTTGAAAGGACACTGTAGAGAGGTTGGTGCTGGTCTCTTCTCACAGGTAATTAGTGACAGAACAAGAGGGAACGGCTTCAAGCTGCAACAGGGTAGGTTTAGATTGAACATTAGGAAGGAATTTTTCACCCAAAGAGTGGTCGGGCATTGGAACAGGCTGCCCAGGGAGGTGGTGGAGTCACCATCCCTGGCTGTGTTTAAGGGACGTTTAGATGGGGTACTGAGGGATATGGTGTAGGGGAGGACTTTGTAGAGTAGGGTAGATGGTTGGACTCGATGATCCCAAGGGTCTCTTCCAACCTCAATGATTCTATGATTCTACAGATATTTTAAACCCTCAAACTTTGTGAGTGCAACCATCCCAACAGCAACCGGGGAGAACAGGTTTGAGTTTGGCTCTAACATCAGTCCAGAGTGAGTCCTTACCCTGTGTGAGCCCCTGCCATCCCCACTGCAGCCGACAAGCAGAGTCCCACAGAATTCAGGCTTGAAAAATTGTGGATTCATAGAATTGTCTGGGTTGGAAGGGACCTTTCAGATCCTCGAGTCCAACCATCAACCCAACGCTGACAAAAACCACCACTAAACCCTGTCCCTAAGTAAAATGTCAGCAGACACCCATGTTTTATATTTACCCAATCGCCTCCACTCCTGACCATCCTGCAGACCATAGAAACTGTAAAAAGTAATTTTAAAGACCATCCCCAGAATGGAATATTAACTGACTTCAGCAGAGGGGTAAGGAAAATGCTGCAACGCACTGCGCTGCCATCTGTGTGTGGAAAACCTCTCCAAGCAAACCTCAGCTCTCCCAAATAAGCAGAGGACCACCTGTGCCATGTCCCTCAAAACATCTAGGCTGCTGTGACCACAGGAGACAGGAAGGCTTTTAAGGCTCAGTCTGGGGTGTTTGTGGTTCCTCTTGTCCCTCTGTTAAATGCCAGTCTGAGACCTTGTCCAAGCTCACACTGAAACCAGGAACAGATGTCGAGCTCCACACTTTAATTGCTCAAGCTCTTTGGGATTTGTCCCCCCTGGACAGCGTCTACATCGAGACCCCACTCTCTTGGACAGGGATAGATATGGCTTGTGCCAGAGTCCAGGGATGTCAGCTCAATCCAAGAGGACATCCAAAGCCAGACTTGAGGCCTGAAAGCTTCTTCATGGTGACACTGAGCATGTCTGCGTGTCACAGAATCATGGAATGGTTTGGGTTGGAAGGGACCTCAAAGATCATCTAGTTCCAAGCCCCCTGCCCTGGGCAGGGACACCTCCCACCAGACCACGTTGCTTTAAGCCCCCTCCAACCTGGCCTTGAACCCCTCCAGGGATGGGGCAGCCACAGCTTCTCTGGCCAACCTGGGCCAGGCTCTCACCACCCTCACAGCAAAGAAGTTCTTCCCCAGAAGAACTCTTAGGAGTTCTTAGGAACTCTTAGAAGTTCTTGGGAACTTAGAAGTTCTTAGGAATTCTTAGAAGTGGCTCTAAGGTCTCCCCGGAGCCTTCTCTTCTCCAGGCTGAACCCCCCCAACTCTCTCAGCCCCCCCTCCCAGCAGAGGGGCTCCAGCCCTCCCAGCGTCTCCATGGCCTCCTCTGGCCCCATCCAACAACTCCATGTCCTTCCTGTGTTGAGGACTCACTTGAGGCAGGTAAATGCTGGGATACATTTCTCTGTCCTGCTTTGAGGACGCCCAACTTGGGGCAGGTAAATGCTGGGGGACATTTCTCTGTCCTGCTTTGAGGACGCCCACTAACTGGCTCTAAGAGAGCCCATGACCACACCTCTCCTAAGAACCTACTCCCATAAGTGCAAAATGCATTCTGTGCCCTGTAAACTCCTGCCACCCAAACCCCAAGCTCTTACCACAGTGATGGTTGAGACATCAGGCACACGTTCCTCAGGAAGGACTGCCATCTGCCTGTCTTTCACAGCTGGGCTCTCATCAGCACGTTCAGCGAGGGAAAGGCTCTCGGGACAGCTTGTGGAGGTAGGTTCCTCCTCCTCACAGGGTAGTTCCCCTGAAGAAGATGATACCATACTATCGACAACACCGGGAGTCCCAGCAGCATCAGTCTGAGAGTCTGCAGGGCTCTCCTCTGGGTGGAAAGATCCCTGGCATGGTGTGCTGTGATCCAGGGAGCTGCTGGGAGTCTGGTCAGGATCTGAACGAGAGTCTGCAGGGCAAGTCTCCAACCCAAAACAGTCCTCACCGTCATCGCTCAGCTCAAGAAAGTCCCCAGTGCTGTTTAATGAGACATACTTCTCGGGGTTGCTGTGCTCCACCACCTTCCTTTTGCTACTCAGGAGTTTGCTGGGTTTGCTGTAGAAGAGAGCCACCCACATATGAAGGATCAGCTTCATCTCTTCTACATCATCAGGCAGATCAGGGTCCCAGGGCCTGGAAGGAAAAGCAAACACAGCCTGAAACATTTTCATCCTCCCTCTGGATGACTAGGTAAGTCATCTCCTGGTTCCCCACGGTGCTAAGCCTCAATGCAGGGGATGCTGCAAATGCCCCACTGCAATCACAGATCGCTTGATGGAACAATCCATGAGCCAGCAATGTGCCCTTGTGGCCAAGAAGGCCAATGGCATCCTGGGGGGCATCAAGAAGAGTGTGTGTGGCCAGCAGGTTCAGGGAGGTCATCCTGCCCCTCTGCTCTGCCCTGGGGAGACCCCAACTGGAGCACTGGGTTCCCCAGTTCAAGAAGGACAGGGAACTGCTGGAGAGGGGACAGCAGAGGCTACAAAGATGATGAAGGGACTAGAACATCTCTCTGCTGAGGAAAGGCTGAGGGACTTGAGTCTTTTTAGTCTGGAGAAGAGCAGACTGAGGGGGGATCTGATCAACGCTTATCAATCCTTCAAGGGTGAGTGTCAGGAGGATGGGACCAGTCTTTTTTCAGTGGTGCCCAGGGACAGGACAAAGGGTAACGGGCACAAACGTGACCATGGAAAGTTCCATCTAAACATGAGGAGGAACTTCTTTCCTGTGAGGGTGGCAGAGCCCTGGCAGAGGCTGCCCAGGGAGGTGGTGGAGTCTCCTTCTCTGGAGACATTCAAAATCTTTCTGGACATGTTCCTGTGCAGCCTGCTCTGGGTGACCTTGCTCTGGCAGGATGTTGGACTTGATGATCTCCAGAGGTCCCTTCCAACCCCATATCATTCTGTGATTCTGTGAGTTTCCAACTTGACGAAAAAAAGAGAAACTCATAACTGCAAAGGAGGACACACGTCTATGGCTATAGGCTCCAATTCTAGCTGCAGAGACATGGGAATCATAGAATGGTTTGGACTAGGAGGGGCCTTTAAAGATCATCCAGTCCAACCCCCTGCCATGTGAGAAGATGCCAGGGACATCTTCCACTAGACGAGGTTGCTCAAAGCCCCTCCAACTTGGCCTTGAACCCCTCCAGGGATGGGGCAGCCACAGCTTCTCTGGCCAACCTGGGCCCGTATCTCACCAACCTTGGCATTAAACATTTCTTCCTCATGTCCAAACCAAACCTGCCCTCTCTCAGGTTAAAATCATTGCCCCTTGTCCTGTCACTACAGGCCTTGGCAAAAAGTCTCTCTCCATCTTTCCTATAAGCCCCCTTTATATATCAAATAGGCGACAGTAAGGTCTACCCGGAGCTTTCTCTTCTCCAGGCTGAACCCCCCCAACTGTCTCAGCCTGTCCTCACAGCAGAGGGCCTCCAGCTCTCAGAGTATCTCCATGGCCTCCTCTGGCCCCGCTCCAACAGGAACATGTCTCTCCTGTGCTGAGGACTCCAAAGCTGGATGCAATACTCCAGGTGGGGTCTCACCAGAGCAGAGCAGAGGGGCAGAATCACTTCTCTCAATCTGCTGGCCCTCTTTTGATGCAATCCAAGATACAACTGGCTTTCTGGGCTACAAGAGCACATTGCCAGCTCGTCCAATTTTTCACCCACCAGTATCCCCAAGTCCTTCTCCCCAGGGAAGACACCCACCAGCTTGAACACAGCAAAACTGGGCACCTGAGCATAAGGGGGATACAACTGCCTTTCTGGGCTACAAGAGCACATTGTCAGCCCGTCCAATTTTTCACCCACCGGTATCCCCAAGTCCTTCTCCCCAGGGAAGACACCCACCAGCTTGAACACAGCAAAACTGGGCACCTGAGCATAAGGGGAAAAAGGCACTTAACACGCAAGGCAAAGCAAAAGAAGAGGAAAGGAAGCCCCTTCCAAACATGCTCCAGATATCCAGCAAGAGACATCCCCTGCAGGTGGCCTTCCAGACTGACTTACCCGTGCAGGGCGCGGATGACGGTTTTCTCCAAGGCATCGTTGGTGTACCTGCTGTCCAGATTGAAGAGATACTCTGCCTCCCAATGGCACGTCACCTTCAACGACTTGCCGCAGATGTTCACCGTGTGGGACTTGGCGAAGTTCTCCTTGAGCCTGGGGGACACCAGGCTGCTCCTGCGCTTCACGGCCACGGCCTCGAAGGGCCGCTGCGGGTGGGTGCTGTTCTGCTGGTGGCGGAAAGGCAGGACTTTCCCAACCAAAGGTCCTGTTCGGGGGTTCCTCGTCCCGTTTCTGGAAGGTGCTGGTCCAGGGTAAGGGGAACCTCTGGGATACACGTGTTTCTTTGAGTGCTCAGGCATCTGCGAGGCGTACGAGTGCTCAGCAGAGATGAAGGAGTGCTTGTTCACCTCAAGGGCTTCTTGAGCCTCTCTTGGAGGCAACGCTGGGGGTTTTGCAGGGTTGGGGCTGGCACTGTTCTTCTTGCTGAAAATCCCAAGGTTTTTCTCCCTGGGAATAGAAGCCAAATCATTTAAGTCTATTTTTTCAGCAGGAGGAAGCTTCTGGTTCAGCGACCCTTTGCTAGGAGAAGTGGTTCCCTTTGAGACCTTGTCCACCCTGTGGTATTCGTGGTCGGAACCAACACGCGAGGACTTGTGCTTGCGATGACTCCGTTGCTCCTTCGCAGAGTTGCTGGAGGGGCTGCAGGACACAGGGGTTATCCTGCCATCCCTGGGGATAAACGAGGGAATACAGGAACCCAGAGCCAGGTCAGCCAGCAAGTTCAAGGCATGGGACTCGTAGTTGTTCCCCTTCAGATCGAAACCGAGATCGGCAACTCCTCCTGGGTAAATGTCACTCGTTTGGTGGCTTTGGGAAGAAACGTCGCTCGGGAGGACAGAGAAGGGCTCCTTCCGCTCTGCATGAGAAAAACAAAAGTCAGAAAATGAACAAAAGAATCATAGAATCGTCCAGGTTGGAAGAGACCCTTGGGATCATCGAGTCCAACCATCTATCCTACTCTACAAAGTCCTCCCCTACACCATGTCCCTCAGCACTGCATCTAAACGTCCCTTAAACACAGCCAGAGATGGTGACTCCACCACCTCCCTGGGCAGCCTGTTCCAATGCCTGACCACTCTTTTGGTGAAAAATTCCTTCCTAATGTTCAATCTAAACCTACCCTGTTGGAGCTTGAAGCCGTTCCCTCTCGTTCTGTCACTAATTACCTGTGAGAAGAGACCAGCACCAACCTCTCTACAATGTCCTTTCAAGTAGTTGTAGAGAGTGATGAGGTCTCCCCTCAGCCTCCTCTTCCTCATACTAAACAGTCCCAACTCCCTCAGCTGCTCCTCATACGATTTGTTTTCCAGCCCCCTCACCAGCTTCGTTGCCCTCCTCTGCACTCGCTCCAGCACCTCAATATCTCTCTTGCATTGAGGTGCCCAAAACTGGACACAATACTCCAGGTGTGGCCTCAAGAAGGTGTTCAAAGCAGGCTTTCAGTCTGGCAGGAAATAGAGCTTCTCTCTGCCCCAGTTTTGGCTGAGATGGAGTTAATTTTCCTCCTCGTAGCTGGTACCGTGCTGTGGTTTGGGTTTAGTACGAGAATAACGTTGCTAACGCACTGGTGGTTTCAGTCGTTTCTAAGTAGGGCTTATACTAAGACAAGAACTTTTCATATTCCCCTGCTCTGCCCACGAGGAGGTGCACGAGAAGTTGTGAGGAAGCACAGCCAGGACAGTCGACCCAACCTGGCCAAAGGGGCGTTCCATACCATATGACATTTCACCATTATTATTATTATTTTCTCTTCCTTCACTGTCCTATTAAACTCTTTTCTCAACCCACGAATTTTACTTTCTTTTTGTTTTTCCTCTCCATCCCACTGGTGCTTGACACCTGCTGGGTTAAACCACGACAGTTCATTTTGGCACCCAACGTGGGTCTTGAAGGGTTGAGATAACGACAGATCTGACCAGAGCATGTTAAAACAGATTTGTTATAATTATTCATTATATTAGTTTAATAGTCACTGCTCATAATATTGATTTATTTGCTCTCAGAGATGTTGTGTGTGTCACCTGAGCTGTGTTGTCAGGGTTTAAGCCCAGCTGACAGTTAGGACCACGCAGCCATTTGCTCTAAGTAGGGCTTAAGTCGTTTCTAAGTAGGGCTTATGCTAAGATAAGAACTTTTCATCTTCCCCTGCTCTGCCCACGAGGAGGTGCACGAGAAGTTGTGAGGAAGCACAGCCAGGACAGTCGACCCAACCTGGCCAAAGGGGCGTTCCATACCATATGACATTTCACCATTATTATTATTATTTTCTCTTCCTTCACTGTCCTATTAAACTCTTTTCTCAACCCACGAATTTTACTTTCTTTTTGTTTTTCCTCTCCATCCCACTGGTGCTTGACACCTGCTGGGTTAAACCACGACAGTTCATTTTGGCACCCAACGTGGGTCTTGAAGGGTTGAGATAACGACAGATCTGACCAGAGCATGTTAAAACAGATTTGTTATAATTATTCATTATATTAGTTTAATAGTCACTGCTCATAATATTGATTTATTTGCTCTCAGAGATGTTGTGTGTGTCACCTGAGCTGTGTTGTCAGGGTTTAAGCCCAGCTGACAGTTAGGACCACGCAGCCATTTGCTCGCTCCCCACAGTGTGATGGAGGGTAGAAATGGAAGAGTAAAAGTGAAGAAAATGGAATATCCCTTTGGTCAGTTGGTGTCAGCCATCCCAGCTGTGTCTTCTCCCAACATCTTGTGCCCTCCCAGTCTACTCGCTGGTGGGGTGGTGTGAGGAGCAGAAAAGGCCTTGATTGCTTAGGAAGAATCAAAACCACCAGCGTGCTATCACACTGTTCCATCCCAAATCTGAAATAAAGGATTAGAATCACAGAATTGTCCAGGTTGGAAGAGACCTTTAAGATCATCGAGTCCAACGATCAACACAACACTGACAAAAACCACTGATAAACCATGTCCCTCAGCACCACGTCTGCTCAGCTTTTACATCCCTCCAGGGATGGTGACTCCACCACTTCCCTGGGCAGCCTCTGCCAAGCCTTAATAACCCTTTCAGTGTGAACATTTTTTTCAAATATCCAATCTGAACCTCCCCTGGCACAACTTGAGGCCATTTCCTTTTGTCCCATCACCTGTTCCTTGGGAGAAGAGACCAAATTCCTCCTGACTACACCCTCCTTTCAGGGAGTTGGAGAGAGCGAGAAGGTCTCCCCTCAGCCTCCTTTCCTCCAGGCTGAACACCCCCAGCTCTCTTAACCTCTCCTCACCAGACTTGTGCTACAGACCCCTCACCAGCTCCGTTGTCCTACTCTGGACCTGCTCCAGCATCTCAATATCTTTTTGAGGTGAGGGGCCCAAAACTGGACACAGCCTTCGAGGTGGGGCCTCACCAGCTGCTTAACTCCATCCCAGCTGAAACCATGACAACTGTGTAATATCTTACTTCCTCCCTGTTGTGCTGATTATCATCTCTAGTTCAAGGTTATCATTTGATTGTACCACGTAACAGGGATGGTGAGATCCTCCATCAGGTACTTGTACTCAGCATTGCCATCATCTCCGTACTTCCACAGCCATCTAGCGGAAATTATTAATAATTACACTCTTTACCTTTTCTCCTCGGAGAACCAATTTATGGGGGGAGAAGGGGAAACACTTTCCCCCTGCTCCCTCAACTTCCCCTCACTTTTTAAATGTCATGGATTTAAGTCATGGATTAAATGAACTCAATGGACGTTTTAGAGGGATGGCCTCTGAAATGCCTGAGGGAATGACATCCGAGAGACAGGAAAAGTGGTGCTTAATTGGAAAATGTAGCATCTGGGCATGATGGAGATGGTATAGAATAAGGAGTGGATAAATGTCCTGGTTTTAGCTGAGATACAGTTAAATTTCACAGGAAGCCAGGAGGGCTCAGGAAGGGGCTGAGCAATTGCGCTGTGTGTCACTCGCTTCATATATTCTTTTATCAATATTACTGTTATTATTTTTCCTCTTCCTTTGCTGTTTTATTAAGTTGCCTTTATCCCAACCCGTGAGTTTTACCTCTTTCTTTGGATTCTCCTTCCCAACTCACTGTGGGGAGGAAGGGGAGGAGTGAGTGAGCGGCCGCACGGTGCTTAGTTATCGGCTGGGACTAAATCACAACACGCAGTTACAAAAAAAAAGCCCTTCTAAAACACAGAGAAAACCCACACCCCGTCCTCATGCTTCTCACTGCACGTCCCCTCAGGGCCATAACCTGCCCCTGAGCTCTAACTCAGAGCACACAAGGAAACCTGGGGGCTCCCAAAGGCAGCCAGAGCACAGCAAATAAGCGCCGATTGCGTTTTCAGCCTTAAAAATGCCCCTCACCGTGGCTCAAGGCCCATATTCGTAAAAGCAGTATGAGTCATGACACAAGGTTAATGCCTTCTACCAAAAACCATCACCAAAATCTCTCAAGTAAAGCCTTATAAATCCCATCTGTGCTAAAGTCCAACACGTTACAATGATTTCCTTGAGAACTGCGTAATACGACACAGAAAACGAGTATTTCTGACTGCTAACCACTCTTCTTTTGAATTTTTGGCAGATCCTGGCATTCAGCAGGACCCACCAGACATCCAGGCCCTGCAAGAGCACTGGCTCTGGGATCCCTGACGTGACAGGGACAACAAGGGGTGGTGTTTGATACACCCAGGCTGACAAAAGTGCCACGTTTCAGGAACACGAGGCAATAAAAGCCTAAAAAGAAATTAATAAACCGAGCCAAGGTGGTTAATCCAGCCTTCAAAGGCTCCACCTCCCCCAGGAAAGGGGGGAAAAAGAAAGAGCAGACACAGATCTGAAAAAAGGATATAAAAGCACGAGTGCGAGAAAACATGACAAATTAACAGAAAATGAACTTTCCTGTTCCACCATTTATTTTGGCACCGAAATAGTGGTTCTCAGTTCAGCAGAAGACTCCCAGCCAGCACCTGCAGACGCTGCACTCAGGGGCTGCCTCTTAAATCCCCCCCCCAGTCTGTCTGCGACAATTCCACTCTTAAAAACAACTGGATTTACAGCGTAATGGACTAAAAATCCAGGCAGACCCTGGCTACGAGCAGAGGTTGTAACGCTCTGTCCGTGAGCTGCCTCAGAGCTCGGCAGTTAAAAAGAAAAATCAAGCTTTTTAAACTATCCCAAAGTGCCAAAGACACAAACTGGAGGCTTAGGAAAGGACTCAGAAGAGAACCTGTGTGGAACCATCCTGGAACTGGTGAACATGAGCCAGCAGTGTGCCCAGGTTTGGAATTGGTGAACATGAGCCAGCAGTATGCCCAGTTGGTCAAGAAGGCCAATGGCATCCTGGCTTGTATCAAGAACAGTGTGGCCAGTAGGACTGGGGCAGTGACTGTCCCCCTGTGCTGGGCACTGGTGAGGTCCCAGCTCAAGGGCTGTGTCCAGTTTTGGGCCCCTCACCTCAAAAAAGACATTGAGGGGCTGGAGCGGGTCCAGAGAAGGGCAACGGAGCTGGTGAGGGGTCTGGAGAACAAGTCTTGTGAGGAGAAGTTAAGAGAACTGGAGGTGTTCAGCCTGGAGAAAAGGAGGTTGAAGGGAGACCTTCTCTAAAACTCTCTGAAAGGAGGGTGTAGCCAGGGGAGTTGGTCTCTTCTCCCAAGGAACAGGCGATGGGACAAGAGGAAATGGCCTCAAGTTGCACCAGGGGAGGTTTAAATCAGATATTAGGAAAAATTTCTTCACTGGAAAGGTTATCAAGCCTTGGAAGAGGCTGCCCAGGGAAGTGGTGGAGTCACCATCCCTGGAGGGATTTAAAAGCCGGGCAGACGTGGTGCTGAGGGACATGATGGTTTTTGTCAGTGTTAGGTTGATGGTTGGACTCAAAGATCTGACAGGTCCCTTCTAACCTTGACAATTCTATGATTCTGTGATTGTAACTGTCATTTTTACAGCTGCATTCATGTTTTACACTACTGTGCACAACTGGGTAGCTGCAGGCTGTGTGGCAGCAGCACTCAGACCCCAGTCCAGACCCTCTCAATGTTGTTAAGACCCTTTTGCTGCCGAAAAACAGGCTGTTACTATCATGTGGTCATGACCTCACCGTGACGTTTGATGGCTTGGCTTCTAAAACAAAAATTTCCACAGGGAACAGCACTCTTACCACTTTCTGCTTGCTTTTTGGCTTGCGGGTTGGACGGGCTGTCAGCCACGCTTTTGAGCATCTTGCTTTTCACTGGCTTCGTGGCGCTCTCAGCAGCAGGAACCTTTTTCACATCCGAGTTCTTCAGCGTCTTCGCTCTCTTCGTTTGCAACCCGGGATCGTCAGGAGCTGAGGTTTCCTTCTGAACGGGTTCAGCCTGCGTTTTGTGCACAAATTCTGCAGACAGGACCTCTGCACCTGGGACAGGGAAAAGGGAGGGTATTAGTTGACAAACGGCTGAATATGAGCCGGCCGTGTGCCCAGGTGGGCAAGAAAGCCAATGGCATTCTGGCTTGTATCAAAAATAGTGTGACCAGCAGAAGTAGGGAGGTGATTGTGCCCCTGTACTCAGCACTGGTGAGGCCACACCTCGAGTGTTGTGTCCAGTTTTGGGCACCTCAATACAAGAGAGATATCGAGGTGCTGGAGCGAGTGCAGAGGAGGGCAACGAAGCTGGTGAGGGGGCTGGAAAACAAATCGTATGAAGAGCGGCTGAGGGAGTTGGGGCTGTTTAGTGTGAGGAAGAGGAGGCTGAGGGGAGACCTCATCACTCTCTACAACTACTTGAAAGGACACTGTAGAGAGGTTGGTGCTGGTCTCTTCTCACAGGTAATTAACAATAGAACGAGAGGGAACGGCTTCAAGCTCCAACAGGGGAGGTTTAGACTGAACATTAGGAAGGAATTTTTCACAGAAAGAGTGATAGGGCATTGGAACAGGCTGCCCAGGGAGGTGGTGGAGTCACCATCTCTGGCTGTGTTTAAGGGACGTTTAGATGCAGTGCTAAGGGACATGGTGTAGGGGAGGACTTTGTAGAGTAGGGTAGATGGTTGGACTCGATGATCCCAAGGGTCTCTTCCAACCTAGACGATTCTATGATTCTATGATTTCTTTTGACTTGAGACATGTTGGGATTAAAAAGGAGCAATTGCGAAATAACCTAGTTAAGGAATGTGGAAGGACGGCTTTAGAAGTGATTGGCAGCAGCAGAGTAGTCTGCCATGGCTTGATTTATGCATCTGATCTTACAAATGGGTTTGTAACTCATGTGAGTGATTAGTAAAATTAATTAATTAATTATTAAATGTTAAGCATCACTTCTTAAGCTCATTAAAAGCCTGTTTTCCTGACCTAAAATAGGTGTTCTCTGGGCAGAAGTCATTCTAACTCTTCCCTGGCACACTTGTACCCTGAGGGTACTTATTTACCTCTCCAAGAAACACCCAACAACTTCTCCCACATCCATCAGCAAGGACACCCAGCCCCGAGGGAACATGCCCTGGGACAGAGCTTGATGGACTATGAATCAGAGCTGACTTGTGGCTCACAAGTGTGATTAGGGGAACCAGAGCATCTCTCTGAGGGAGGATTGAGGGACTTGGGTCTTTTTAGTCTGGAAAAGAGAAAACTGAGGGGGGATCTCATCAATGCTTATCAATATTTAAAGGGTGGGTGTCAGGAGGATGGGACCAGTCTCTTTTCAAGTGACAGGACAAGAGGAAATGGGCACAAATTTGAACATGGAAAGTTCCTTCTAAATATGAGGAGGAACTTCTTTCTTGTGAGGGTGGCAGAGCCCTGGAACAGGCCGCCCAGAGAGGTGGTGGAGTCTCCTTCTCTGGAGACATTCAAACCCTGCCTGGACACATTCCTGTGGGACCTGCTCTGGGTGACCCTGCTCTCGTAGGGGGGTTGGACTAGATGATCTCCAGAGGTCCCTTCCAGCTCCATGTCACTCTGTGATTCTGTTATCTAGGCAGCCTGTAATGACCATGGCTTTGATAACTGCTCCTTGTCTGAGCCATCGACAGCCCCTTGGACAAGGGATGCACTAACTCTGACCTGGCTGATGTCCCTGTGCACCATCACCTGTGCAAGGCAACAGCATGGTGGGTTTCAGGCACCTTTGCTGAAATCCCGTGTCACAGCTCCTTCCCAGGTTGAAAGACAGAGCATGAAGACATCACAAACCTATCTAGATGCTCAGGGGGTGTCTCTTTGCTCTAAACACCCTGGGGGATGGTGAGAAACATGGCTCGTAGTGAACCCCAAATATTCCAGCTGGATACCCTGGAGAAGCAGGAGGAATTCACTCCCATTTCTATAACACTTACCTCTTTTCCTTCGGTGTGGAAACTGCAAATTGGCCAATTTAAGCATGGGCTCGTTGGAACTGGCCGCAAGCCCTGGCTTTTTAGGAAAAGAGAAAGTGATGTTGATTTTCTTCTTCTTCGTTGCTTTCCTGTTCCTGCCGCTGTCCCCCACGGGATGCATTTGCTTCTTGAGGGGTGACCATTTCTTCCTGGCGTTGGTCACCATGGCTTGGCTGGATTTCCTCCTGCTCTGCTGCACCCGTAGCTTGCTGGCCGAGTTGACGTCCTTTGTGGGTCCATCACCACCCTGGTCCAGCCCCACAGCTGGCTTTGATTGTTTCCTTCTGAGTCTTCTTTCTGCCACTGTGTTGGAAGGAAGAGGGTCCGGTGGCACCGCTGAAGAGATGTCCTCTTTACCATCAGCCTCGCAACGAAGAGACTGAAGAGCACCAGTCAAACATCCTAAGGCAGATGACATTTCCAGGGTATAGCTGCTGGGATCGGAGAAATAACACCGCAGCTGGGAGAAGGACTGCTCCGAGGGTTTTTTGAAGGGTTTAGTACATTCTTCCTCGGTTGGGGAGAAGAGAGAAGAAAGGGGAACTTTGCTGGTTTGGCCAGAAGCAGGTTGTGGATTTTGATCAAGCTTTGAGTATTCTTGGAGGTGCTGTTTGATACGTGTGCTGGTACTGCCCGTGTCCCCCCACGAAGAACTGGTGGCTTTCTGTAAGGCATAGCGAAGTCCAGGCAAAACTGAGGCTATTTTTAATGAGATGTCCCTGTTGCCACTGTCTTCCTTTTTGTCTTTTGGATCGTGCTTTTCAACTGCAAAAAGAAAAAAAAAAAAGAATTTCATTCATATTAAAAAAAAAGGATTAAATTCCCCACATCAACTCACTGTTGCATGCTAAGAGAACATGCTAAGCTATGAAAAAGCCCCAGAAGCTACAAAAAAAAACTACCCCCAGGGGCAACGTCCTGGTTTGATGGATGCTTGTAACTGCTAAGCTACCCCCAGGGGCAACATCCTGGTTTGATGGATGCTTGTAACTGCTAAGTGTAAAAAAAGAATTGCGCGTGGGAGTCAAAAGTGGATTAAACTAAGATGAAAGACAGCTGTTGTACCCACTAGCCCCATTCTGCAGGAAATTTTAAGAGGGAGATTGCACACATAGCAGTCTAAATCCCTTCACTCCAGCAATTCTCACTAAATCCACTGTTTAGGACAGTCAGAGCTCTGAAAATACATGGGTTTTGTTGGTTGTTTTAAAATCTGTTCAAATTTACGGTTGTCCAGGCAGGGTGTTTAGACTAGAACCATTTTCAGAGCAGTTGTGTTGTTTGTGTCCCTGTTCAGATGCAATTTCCAGCAGCTCCATCTCTACTTGCTGCCAGCGTGGCAGCTCTGGAGTGGGATAGGGAACACAGACTTACCTGAGCAGACCTGGGGACCATATAAATAACTACCATGAGGAGGGACTTCTTTACTTTAAGGGTGGCAGAGCCCTGCGAGCAGACCTGGGGACCACATAAATAACTAATATGAGGAGGGACCTCTTTACTTTAAGGGTGGCAGAGCCCTGGAAGAGGCTGCCCGGGGTGGGGAGTGGAGTCTCCTTCTCTGGAGATGTTCAAAACCCGCCTGGACATGTTCCTGTGCAACCTGCTCTGGGTGGACCTGCTCTGGCAGGGGGTTGGACTAGATGATCTCCAGAGGTCCCTTCCAACCCCACATGATTCTATGATTCTATGAACCCCTGGGTGATTTTCTGGGGGGCTGATCCTACTGAAAACACCCCGTGATGAACCCCTGGGTGATTTTCGGGGGGGCTGATCCTACTGAAAACACCCCGTGTTTCTGTTTTCAGCAGGACTAACACTCAGTGTACCTAAATACCATGTACAGTGCACATTATCATAGACGTTTAGCTCCCAACAGGGATCAATATGAACAAATCCCAAGGCTTGAGGGTCACCGTGGAAGACATTATGGTGGAATTAAGCTCTGCTTGGTGTAGCAGTGTCCCCTCAGTGTCTGGAAAGGCCTGGAGAGCCAGTGTGATATGCAGAGCCTGTTGGCTGAGATCCCCATCATAGAATCATGGAATGGTCTGGGTGGGAAGGGACCTTAAAGATTATCCAGTTCCAACCCTCCTCCTAGACACCTCCAACTAGACCAGGTTGCTCAAAACCCCATCCAACCTGGTTTTGAACCCCTCCAGGGATGGGGCAGCCACAGCTTCTCTGGCCAACCTGGGCCAGGCTCTCACCACCCTCACACCAAACAAGTTCTTCCCCAGATCTCATCTAAATCTCCCCTCTTTCAGTTTAAAACCCTTCCCCCTCCTCCTATGGCTCCCCTCCCTCATCCAGAGTCCAACCCCAGTTTTCCTGGAGCCCCTTGAGGGACTGGAAGGGGCTCTAAGTTCTCCCAGGAGCCTTCTCTTCTCCAGGATGAACATCCTCAACTCTCAGCCTGGCTTTCCACACAAGGCAGATTTATCTGGCTTCATCCACTGAAACCCAGCAGTCTGAGGTCGCCGCTCTGCACCCACAGGCTTGGCCCATGGACACGTTGTGCTCCAACTCTGAGGTTTCCTTTGGCTGCAAGGCCGGGCTGACAAACCCCACTGCCCTTCCCCCTGGCTTCTCTTCCCAGCAAGGCAAAGGCGTTTCTTCTTCCCTCCCAGACGTGTGATTTTTTTCTTCTCCTGTTGGCCCTGCCTCCCACTGCCAATGCTGGTCCTTGTTGCTGGCGAGCCCAGGCGTCCCCAGAAGCCAAGCTTCCCAGCTCCCCACCTCCTCTGCTGGCTCGGGAAGGCTGGGCTGGTTACTCCTGCCCGACATTCCTTCCGACGGCTGTCTGGACAGGAAGGGAGCAGATTCAGAGGCTGCTTGTTTCGAAAAACGGGAAACATTATTCATACTTCTGAGCCTGGGCTGGAGGACTTCAAATGCACCCGGTCCTTCAGCCTCCTTTTCTCTCTGCATCTCTTCCCCCGCCGTCTTCGGTGACCGTCCCTTTTGTCCCGGGTTGAGTGACACAGGGGTCATTTCTCTTCTAATGCTGTGGAAAAACTGCACTTTTAAGAAGACTCTAGTCTCTGAATTGGTGGAAATATTTACTTCATAGGCAGCCAGGCTATGTGGGATTCAAGGTCTCAGTGTTTTTGAACCCTGCCAGCTGCAGGGATGAGGAGGAGCAAGACCCCAGCATTTGACCCAGGATTGTTTCATACCATGAACATTACATTCAATATAAATTAGAAAGTTTGCCACGTAGTTTCTCCTTCCTTGATGGCGATGGTCCAGAAAGCTCCTTGCCCCCATGCCAGACCCCTTCTCTTCCTCCTGAAGCTGCAGCACTTGCCGTGTCCCACGTTGGCTGTCCCTGCTGGAAGCCTATAGCTTCCTGCAATAGAGTGGGCTGGGTATAATCCTTGTATATTTTACATTGGTATCAGGATTAATACTGGTTCTTCAGTATTATTATTAATTATATAGTCTTATCTTATTAAACCTATTTATATTTCAACCCTTGTGTTTCCTTGCTTTCCCCGATTCCCCCTCCTGGATGGGGAGGGGTCACTGGGTGATAGGATAATTGTCTTAATAAATTGTTATGGGTTTTCTCAAACCATAACACCTTTTCAATCCCAAATCCCTGCAACAGCTCTGCTTATCTTCACAGAAAGGAGAAGCCCTGATGCAAAAAAAGGTTTCTAACCTCGGTGTGAAGAGAGGTCTCTGACCCAGGGAACAGCCAGGGCTGGCTGGGTTAACATCACTCACGGAGGCAGAAAGGGACAGCACGTGCAGGAGTCCTGGCTGGCACCAGAGAGGAGACACCTGGAAGCCATCAACATTTGGAGCACGTCACATAATGTGGAGTGTTTGCTCAACGTAATCCTCTCCCTCTGCCTCTTCGCTTTGCTGCCAAGCTCCTCTCCAGCTGCCCAGGCTTTGCCTCCTCTTCAGCATCAACACCAGCCACAGGCAACGACTGCTACGTCCCCAAACCTTCCTACAAACTGGCTGCTGTGCATCATCTTCGCTCCAGGATGCTCCTTACGCCTGGTGCCCTCTCCTGTCTCCACCACCTTCTTCCCTCTTCAAGATAAAATACCTCCTTGCACTGTCCCCCCTCTCCTGTGGGGCACAGTGCTTGCAGTCAGCCTTGGAGGAATAGATCCATCTGCTCTGGAGGGTCTTTTCTGCCTGTTGAGGGGCTGATCAGCAAGTTCTCAATATCTGGGTGGTCAGTTCCCATCTCCAGTCTGGTCTTCAGGCGTTCTTTCCCTTCACCTCACCCAGCTTCAGGAGTCGCAGAAACAACCTGATCCCAGATTTGACCTGGCACTTCACATCTTCAGTCTGCCTCAGGAGGAGCCTGGCTCTCTCTCTCCTCCTCCTAGAAGAGACACTACAAAAGTAACCAGGCTAACACGGTCGGTACATCCTTAAATTCAGGCATCAAAGATGTTCACACCCCGCACTGCCAAGACACCATCACGTCTTCACCCAACTTACAAGCCCACTTTGTATGCAGATCCCGAAGGAGAAAGCTTATAGCTGGAAGTTAAAACACCAAAAAGGACAAAGCAATCCATGCCTGGATGTGCTGCAAGGTCCTGTCACCTCTTCTGCCCATTTTATCTTCCAGGGAGGGGACAGGGGCACGTCCCCGTGCAGCTCCGTCAGCAACGCCAGCCGTCGCTCACACTGAAATGCCAGGGTGTGCTGGCACAAACAGCCTCTTGGCTCATCCCCGGGGATGACTCAACATAAAAACAAGCCAGAAGCTAACGCAGGGCAAAAGGCCCCTGTTTATATTTTGCTTGGGGAATCTGCAAGGCTGGAAGCGTTCCTGGTGGAGCCAAGGCAAGGAGAGAAGCGCGGATGAAGCCGTCCAGGGGAGGCAGAGCAGTAACTTTCTGGTACGTCCACCAGAAGAAACTGTTAATGTGAATATTTCCATGTCTACAGTGGAAATATGTTCTATATCTACAGAGAAAATCTGAGGCAAAAGCAACAGATGGCGAAGCTTCTTCTTATTTCCAGTTCTGCGGGTTCAAACCGTGCAATCTTTATTTTCTCTTATTGAGCACCTCTGTGTTTATTCCGCGTGAAAAGAAGCACATTTTGGGGCTGCAAACAGCCTGGGTTCACCTCCCAAGGTCCCAGAGCTGTGACTCACCTTGATGGCAGCAAAGCACGGTGGCTCTGCCCAACACCATCTCCCTCCCTCACCCATGGAGCACCGTGACCGGTCGTCACAGCTCCTCTACCAGCAATTACAGATCCTGCAGAGGAGAAGTCCCACAAAAGGGCTGAGCCTCCAAATTCTTGCTGCTCTTTAGGGAGCAACACCCCTTTCTCCATCTCTCCTCACCCTGCCCACACCACCAACAGCCTTTGACGGAGCTCATTTCACTTGTTGTCTCAGCAGAAAACAATCAACTCAGGCTGTTTTCCTGCTGGTTTAGCAAATCACACCAGCTCCGTGCAGGGTCCAGCAAATGCCATGTGTCGTTTCGCTCCCTGAGCAAAGCTCCAGAGCACACTCAGGGACAGAAGCCAGGCTCTGCAGGAGTCAGGCTCCTGTGAGCACACAAAAGACAGTTCAGGGAGAGGAAGCTGCTGAAAACACCAAAAAGGACAAAGCAATCCATGCCTGGATGTGCTGCAAGGTCCTGTCAGCTCTTCTGCCCATTTTATCTTCCAGGGAGGGGACAGGGGCACGTCCCCGTGCAGCTCCGTCAGCAACGCCAGCCGTCGCTCACACTGAAATGCCAGGGTGTGCTGGCACAAACAGCCTCTTGGCT